GGGGATTTTTACTTTACTGCGTTTTTTTTGGGGGTTTATTTTTGGGCTTTGGTGGTTGCGCAGAAAGGTAAATAAGTAGGTATTTCCCCCGGTTTGGTGTTTGTTTCTGCAAAAAAAACCCCCCAAGGGCCCCCCAAAAAATTTGGGCCCAACCTTTGTGGTAAAAAGGGGAAATTAGTAGGGAAATTTAAAAAAAAGATTTGGGGGGTTTTGGGGCAACCCCCGAGAACCCTATGCCGTTGGGAAATCCATTTGCATATTTTAAAAAATTAAGGAAATGTTGAAACAGTGGTTTAAGTGAAAACCCTTTATGGATGAAAATCACCCTAACCAGCTATTGCAAGTCGTGCGGGTGACTTTTAAAAGACAATTTACAATTTTAGTCCCTTAAACCTTTATTTTAGCTTATATAACTATTTTGTTCTACATTCAAAATTTGTTAAAATAAAAAGTGCTTTCTCATCTAAAGGGAAATAAGTCACTATTTTGCCATTATATTCCAAAGCTCATTTATTTGATTACCACCTTATTGTTCACCACAACTTATTTTAGCCCTTTTATATTAAAAATTTTTTATTTAATTCTAACTTTAAAAGAATTACCTTTTAAAGCTACCTACTATCTATTCCCAAGCTCCATTATTTGACTCACTTTATTTTTTCACCACAATTATTTTAGCCCCTTTTATATTGCCCCTTTTATTTTAGTTTTAAAAAACCCCTTATCATTTTTTTACATTTTTAAAAATAATTCAGGTGCTATTTTTTAGCCCTGAATTGTCACAGTTGCTCTTTGCTGATGACACTGTCCTTTTGGGGAATTTGAAGAGAAGTTGCGAGATTGGTGATGAATTTGGTGGGGTTGCAAAAGAAAAAAATTTGAAAGTGAATACGGGAAAAGAAAAAGTAAGGTTTATGGGGAAACAAAAATATTAGGTGATGAAAGATTGGATATCAGATTGAAGGGAGAGGTAGGGAGGAGGTGAATGATCAGATTTTTTGGGAGGGGAAATTTCAGGGGAGGGGTCTATGAAAGATGGGGTGAATCATGAATTGATAGGGGAAAGGGTGAGTGGTGCACTTAGGAGTTGTGGAGAAAAAGAACTTGTCCTTGGAGGCAAAGAGGGGAATGAAATGAGAGTTATTTTACCAACGCTTTTATAGGGGTGTGAAGCGGGGTGATAAATTTTGAGCGGGGAAAAGGCGGGGGCAGTGGAAGTCATTTTTGAGGCAAATTTTTGAATATAAAAAGGGGAATTCAAATTTAAAAAAGGGTGGGGTTTACCAAAATGTTTTAGGGGTGGGAAAGGTTTTGTTGAGGTGGGGAAATTGTGGAAAGAATGGACGCAACGAATAATTCAAGAGTGTATCAGTCTGTATGGGGGAAGGGGGGGTAGGGTCCGGCCTGGGGAAAGGTTGGAGGGGGGGGTAAAGGGGGTTTTGTGTGCGAGGGGCTTGGACTTCCAGCAGGCATGCGTGAGCGTGTTTGATGGAGTGAATGGAGAAAAAAGGGTTTTTTTAATACTTGACTCTGTTGGGGTGAGAAAAGAAACATTTATGAAGGGGTTCGGGGAAAACCGGCGGGGCCGGGACCTGATCCGGGAAGGGGAAGTACAGTCCCTGCACTCTGAAGGGGGGGTGTTAAGTTGCAGTTTAAAAACTGTAGTGTAAAGCACCCTTTCGGGCAAGACGTTGGAGGAAGGGTGAAATTTTTTCTTTTTGGGGCCCACTCTGCCTTGGTGGGAATGGGCCATGTATAATAAAAAAAGAAAAAAAAAAAAAATTTTTAGCTTTAGAATATTTACTTTGTTTTATATTTAATTCAACTATAGATTCACTACAAATCTTATGATTCAAGCATTGATCCTGATACCAACCCCTTATTTAACGAAATTTAAAGATCAAAGTTACTGTAATTACAACAGCGAACAACAAAGGCCTTCTCAGACCCAAAAAAACATAACTGTCTTTAACTACCTACAGATCTTTAAAACAAGCTTACGAGACCTCATAGCTTACTAAATTCCGCATGCCCTATGTCCTCATTACTAACTGAAACCCGGGGGAAGCCGATACTACGATGTCTATCCATTTCCCGGTTACACAGCCAAACAACTGAGGACAGATCAAAGGGGGTGGCACGCTATATCACTCAACCAACTGAATGTACATAAAACTTGACAAGGGGGTGAACTGGGGGAAAAATAAAACAAAAATTTAAATCCAAAACCTACAAAATCCTCTCACATTTTAAACATCTACAGGTTCCCATCAAAAAATTAGCCAATTTAGTCAAAAACCCAGAATATGATAACTGATGCACGCTGAACAAAGTCCTTACTACCTAGGTGGCTTCAAAATAAATCCCGCAAACCCCGGGGCCCACCCCTTACTGAATTCACAACACAATGAGTAACTGCTGTTTCTACCAACAGAACAAAAACCACAAGAGTTTCGGGGCTAGTGTTTCCCCACTTGACCACATTGGACCAACACCATATCCCCTTTAAAAACAGGCTAAATTTCGATAATACCACAGACCCCACCCTACTTTTTCCTCATAACAACTCTTGGTAAATTACCCCCAATCCTACTTTAAAATCACCTTTAGACTTCACAATGAGGCAGCCATTAAAACTTCACAACAGCATAACAAACGGACTGGCACACTGACTAGAAAACATCAGATATTGACAATGTTTTAATAATTTTTAAAAAAACCCAATACTCTATAAAAACACGGGCCCAAAAAACTAAAAAAGATAAGCTAAGAGACTGAACATCCCTGGCTAAAAACCCAGCATTCTCAAATCCATAAATCAAAGCACCGATATGAAAAAAAGACAGAATGGGTCACATAACCCGGACCCAAAAAAAAACGTTACCGCAATCCAACCGCCGATAAGAAGGGCAAAAAAAATTTTATTATGAGAAAAATTACCAACTTACCAGGTGAATAAAAAAAACCTGGGAAAAACCCCACGAAATTCTGGGGGAAAAAAAAAGATTTTACGAAAAAGCGAAATAAAATTAGCAAAATCATCAGAAATGAACCACCCCAACTCCCACCAACAGAAAACAGCAACAGACTCAATGATTTCTTCTCCACTATAGACAAACTTGCCAATAAAATCTCCAGCTCAGATACCCCCACCAAATGACTACCTCACTGGCATCTACCCTAGACGAGCACTGTTGCTTAGCTCCGACTGAACCCATACGAAGTCTCCCTTATTATCAACAGCACTAGAAAACAAGGCAGGAGATTCAAATACCTTACCACCCTTTATATACAAAAAAGTGGGTCAACAAGTGCTATCTACCAATCATTGCAACACCTCTTTAACAAATCCACTGAATTCTCCACCTTCCCTACATTCTAAAATAGCAAGGGTCACCCCGATCCATAAGGAGGAGACCAAACAAGAGTTGAATAACTATAGGCCAATATCCAATTTACACCCTCCTCCTCAAAATCTTCGAAAAATTAATTCATAAACTGAATCTACTCTACCTCATCTCCCAAAAACATACTCAGAGCCCTCTGCCAATTTGGATTCAGTCCTAATAAAATACTAATGATCCTATTATACACATGCTAACATATTATACACTGCAACAAGAAAAAAGAGCCCACTGGGGATCTTCATTGACTTACGTAAATTTTTGATACGCTTGACCATGACTTGCTCCACATAAAATTGTCACGTGTGAACTATGGTATACAGAGGCACTCTCCCTCAACTACCTCAGTCATACTCAGCAACAGAAGACCAATATGTGTACTGCAAATGGGGCAAACTCTTCCGCACAACCAATTACAGTTGGTGTCCTCTCCACAGGAAAGTGTCCTTGGCCCTCCTTTCTCTTCTCCTATACAAAATACCTTACCAAACGCTTCGCAATTACTCAAACCCACACTATTTTCAGATGAACACTACATACGCTTCTCTCACCCGAGCCCAGTCACGCTAGCCAATACTGTACATACTGAATTACAGAAAATTCTATCCTGGATGAGACTAACAAACTTACACTAAACATTGACAAAACTTACTTCATTCAGTTTGGTAACAGAGCTACAGAATGTCCGCCTCTTAACATAATTATAAATGGATCACCTATTCACAAAGCTAACAGAGGAAAATTCTAGGATCCACCTGATAATAGACCAAATTTCGTTCACATATACAACAAATATTCTAAGAAAATTTCCAAGACCGTAGCATGCATCAAGATCCGGTAACTATTTCCACAGTCAGCCCTCCTGCCCTATATCCACTCTCTTATTTACCCCATCTCACCTATGGAATTTGTGCATGGGCTCAACAACAATTAACCATCTCTAGACCACTAATTATCCTACAAAAGGCGCCAGTCAGAATGATAACAAATTCCCACTACAGGCAGCACAGCTCCACCAATACTCAAAAACAATAAACCTACTCACAATACAAAACATCCATACTTATTACTGCACCTATTTACATACATAAACACTTAACTCTGATATTACCCTCCCCTCAAACATCCGTTCTTGCCAACCCAACAGAACACATGACCATAACACAAGGCACAGATTCAATCTTTGATGTTCCTCATGTCCATCTCACCAATGCAAAAACTCAATGCCCCAAAAACATAAAAGGCCCTAAAATCTGGAATTCATTACCTGTAAATATAAAAGAAACACTACTGTTTATAAATCAAAGTCTCTCTCAAAGATTTACTCCCCAACCCAAAACCAAAATAAATACTGAATAACTGACCTTATAAATTGTATATTTCAAATGTTTCTCACATTTTTTTTTTTTTTTTCAACAAGTCGGGGCGTGCCGTCTCCCACTGAGGCAGGGTGACCCAAAAAAGAAAGAAATCCCAAAAAAGAAAATACTTTCATCATCATTCACACTTCACCACACACACACAATTATCATACTGCTTTTGCTGAGGTGGCCAGAATACAACAGTTTAGAAGCATATACGAATAAAGATACAACAAACATATCCCTCCAAACTGGCCAATATCCCAAACCCCTTCCTCATACATGTTAAACCTAAGAACCCAATCTAACTTTGTTTATTTTTTTAAATACACTACCTAACAGAATACCCATTGCGACTGAATGTACAGCAATGCATCAACCATATGACCTGTCTTTGTAATACCAATTTGTGCTTTATATTGTTATCTGTTTACAATAATGTTTTAATCACGATAACAATCATTGCTTAGTTAATCTTAATTTAATTTTTAAGCCAGCCGTAATGCTATGCAATACAAGTGGCTTTGTCATGCTGCTCTTCTTTACCAGTATTTTTTTGTACCATCTGTATGCATGCTCAAATTACTAAATAAATAAATAAATAAATTTTTTTACATTTTTTTATTTTACGGACTGGGCAGCAACAGGAATTCTTTGGAAGAAAATTCAATGCCTTCTACTTCAGGTTAGCATTTTGGATATTTTGTACAATTCCATATTTGTAATAAATTGTAAGATAAGCTAAGCTTTATTAAGGAGCCCTACAAATGGTTTAACAGATTGCAGAATGAATGTTAGGCCATTGACTTTTATTAGTGCAAGGTTTTTGTTAATATGATGATTCAGAAACTCTAGGTTTATGTGTGAAGTACCTTTGACTGGCTTCACCAGGTTTTTCTGCCCTTGCAGCCTGGCCCAGGTTTTTCTGTTGATTGCCTCTTCTATCAGGCTTCAAAGATTCTGTGACTGGCGTCTACATGATCAGGTGACCAATTTCATTCGCTTATCTACAGTAAGTGTTTGAGTCCTGGTCACCTGAGTATTTAAAATGTATTTTCCCTTTCCCATAGTGAACAGCAAAATTTTCAAACATAATATTCTGGATACTGGTTGCTAGCAGTTTTGTTAGCATGGTCTTGCTTTACTTGTTTTAGTCTATTATCACCTTCTAGCATTTCTATTTATTGTATATATTTACTTAATTCTATTCTCATATATTTGCTGTTCCAGCCTCATAGTCTATCCATTCTTTTTCTTTAGTTCATATCCCAAATAAAATTATTTTTTCTCCTTTAAGAGGTTACTTCTCATTAATATGCCCTTTTAGTACAGTATACGTATTATGTAGTCACTCATATATAATTTTCAAATGTTCTGTTTCCCATATGATTTATATTATAATGTGTTCTTACAGGTCTTCAAGGCAGATGTAAAAAAAGGTGTCCAAAATGTAGTGCGATAGTTCCTAGTCGCAAATACGCATGTGAATGTGGGCACAATTTTTTTGCAGAAAAAGAACACTTAAAGAAAAAAAGGGAAGCTCAGTTGCAGAAAGCTGGAATTATAGCAAGTGAAAATGGGAATCTATGGCGGGCCTTTGATGCAATTCAAAAACAGGTATAGCTGAGAAATGTATTATATTTCTATAATACACATATATACGTATATTCTTTCTTTCTTTCAACACACCGGCCATGTCCCACAAAGGCAGGGTGCCCCAAAAAGAAAAGCAAAAGTTTCTCTTTTAAATTTAGTAATTTATACGGGAGAAGGGGTTACTACCCCTTGCTCCCGGCATTTTATTCGCCTCTTACAACACGCATGGCTTACGGAGGAAGAATTCTGTTCCACTTCCCCATGGAGATAAGAGGAAATAAACAAGAACAAGAACTAGAAAGAAAATAGAAGAATACCCAGAGGGGTGTGTATATATATGCTTGTACATGTATGTGTAGTGTGACCTAAGTGCAAGTAGAAGTTGCAAGACATACCTGAAATCTTGCATGTTTATGAGACAGACAAAAGACACCAGCAATCCTACCATCATGTAAAACAATTACAGGTTTTCGTTGTACACTCACTTGGCAGGATGGTAGTACCTCCCTGGGCGGTTGCTGTTTACCAACCTACTACCTAGGTTGGTGTGTGTGTGGTGTGTGTATATATATAAAATATATATATATATATATATATATATATATATATATATATAATATATATATATATATATATATATATATATATTCTTCTTTCTTTCAACATACCAGCCGTATCCCACTGAGGTGGGGTGGCCCAAAAGAAAAAACTGAAGTTTCTCCCTTTTTAAATTTAGTAATATATACAGGAGAAGGGGTTACTAGCCCCTTGCTCCCGGCATTTTAGTCGCCTCTTACAACACGCATGGCTTACAGAGGAAGAATTCTGTTCCACTTCCCCATGGAGATAAGAGGAAATAAACAAGAACAAGAATTAGAAAGAAAATAGAAGAAAACCCAGAGGGGTGTGTATATATATGCTTGTACATGTATGTTTAGTGTGACCTAAGTGTAAGTAGAAGTAGCAAGACGTACCTGTAATCTTGCATATTTATGAGACAGACAAAAGACACCAGCAATCCTACCATCATGTAAAACAATTACAGGCTTTCGTTTTACACTCACTTGGCAGGACGGTAGTACCTCCCTGGGCGGTTGCTGTCTACCAACCTACTACCTAGGATATATATATATATATATATATAATATATATATAATATATATATATATATATATATATATATATATATATATATAATATATATATTTTTTTTTTTTTTTTTTTTTTTTTTTTTTTTTTTTTTTTTTTTTTTTTTCCCAACAAGTTGGTCGTCTCCCACCGAGGCAGGGTGACCCAAAAAAAGTAAGAAAATCCCCAAAAAGAAAATACTTTCATCATCATTCAACACTTTCACCACACTCATATATTATCACTGCTTTTGCAGAGGTGCTCAGAATACAACAGTTTGGAAGCATATACGTATAAAGATACACAACATATCCCTCCAAACTGCCAATATCCCAAACCCCTCCTTTAAAGTGCAGGCATGGTACTTCCCATTTCCAGGACTCAAGTCCGACTATAAGAAAATATCCGGTTTCCCTGAATTTTTTTTTTTTTTTTTTTTTTTTTTTTCAACAAGTCGGCCGTCTCCCACCGAGGCAGGGTGACCCAAAAAAGAAAGAAAATCCCCAAAAAGAAAACACTTTCATCATCATTCAACACTTTCACCACACTCGCACACTATCACTGTTTTTGCAGAGGTGCTCAGAACACAACAGTCTAGAAGCATACACATATAAGATACACAACATATCCCTCCAAACTGCCAATATCCCAAACCCCTCCTTTAAAGTGCAGGCATTGTACTTCCCATTTCCAGGACTCAAGTCCGACTATATGAAAATAACCGGTTTCCCCTGAATCCCTTCACTAAATATTACCCTGCTCACACTCCAACAGATCGTCAGGTCCCAAGTACCATTCGCTCCATTCACTCCTATCTAACACGCTCAGCACGCTTGCTGAAGTCCAAGCCCCTTACCCACAAAACCTCCTTTACCCCCTCTCTCCAACCCTTTCGAGGACGACCCCTACCCCGCCTTCCTTCCCCCATAGATTTATATGCTTTTCCATGTCATTCTACTTTGATCCATTCTCTCTAAATGACCCAAACCACCTCAACAACCCCTCTTCTGCCCTCTGACTAATACTTTATTAACTCCACACCTTCTCCTAATTTCCACACTCCGAATTTTCTGCATAATATTTTCACCACACAATGCCCTTAAACAGGACATCTCCACTGCCTCCAACCATCTCCTCGCTGCTGCATTTACCACCCAAGCTTCACACCTATAAAGTGGGTTTGGTACTACTATACTTTCATACATTCCCTTCTTTGCCCCCATAGATAACGTTTTTTGACTCCACATATACCTCAACGCACCACTCACCTTTTTTCCCTCATCAATTCTATGATTAACCTCATCCTTCAAAAATCCATCCGCCGACACGTCAACTCCCAAGTATCTGAAAACATTCACTTCTTCCATACTCCTCCTCCCCAATTTGAATATCCAATTTTTCTTTATCTAAACATTTGACACCCTCATCACCTTACTCTTTTCTATGTTCACTTTCAACTTTCTACCTTTACAACACATTCCCAAACTCATAAACTAACCTTTGCAATTTTTCTTTAGAATCTCCCATAAGCACAGTATCATCAGCAAAAAGTAACTGTGTCAATTCCCATTTTGAATTTGATTCCCCATTTTTAAATCCCACCCCTCTCCCAAACACCCTAGCATTTACTTCCTTTACAACCCCATCTATAAATATATTAAACAGCCATGGTGACATTACACATCCCTGTCTAAGACCTACTTTTACCGGGAAGTAGTCTCCCTCTCTTCTCACACACCCCAACCTGAGCCTCACTATCCTCATAAAAACTCTTTACAGCATTTAATAACTTACCACCTATTCCATATACCTTCAACATCTGCCACATTGCCCCCTATCCACTCTGTCATATGCCCTTTTCTAAATCCATAAATGCAATAAAAACTTCCCTACCTTATCTAAATACTGTTCACAATATATGCTTCAATGTAAACACCTGATCTACACATCCCCTACCCACTCTAAAAACCCCCTTGCTCATCCGCAATCCCACATTCTGTCTTACCTCTAATTCTTTCAATATAAAACCCTACCGTACACTTTTCCTGGTATACTCAGTAAGCTTATTCCTCTATAATTTTTACAATCTCTTTTGTCCCCTTTCCCTTTATATAAAGGGACTATACATGCTCTCTGCCAATCCCCAGGTACCTTCCCCTCTTTCATACATTTTTTTAAACAAAAGTACCAACCACCCTTTACTAAAATTACCCTGCTCACACTCCCACAATCGTCAGGTCCCAAGTATCATTCTTCCATTCACTCCAACTAACACCTCATGCACCTTTCTGGAAGTCCAAGCCCCCCGCCCCCAAAACCTCCTTTACCCCTCTTTCCAACCTTTCGAGGGGGACCCCTACCCCTCTTTCCCTTCCCCCATAGATTTTATGTTTTCCCAATTCATTCTATTTTGATCCATTCTCCTAATGACCAAACCCCTCAACAACCCTCTTTGCCCTTCTAATCTTTTTTTAACTCCACCCCTTCTCCTAATTTCCACACCCCAAATTTTCGCATAATATTTACACCACACATTCCCCTTTAGACAGGACATCTCCACTGCCTAACCGTCTCCCTCCTGCTGCATTTACCCAAACCCCAAACTTCACATCCATATAAATGTTGTACTACTTACTTTTTACATTCCCCTTTTTGCCTCCATAATAACGTTTTTTTGACTCCACATAACCCCAACGACCACTCACCTTTTTTCCCTCATCAATTCTTGTTAAACCTCACCTTCAAAAATCCATCCCCCTAAAATCAATCCCAAGTATTGAAAACATTCACTTCTCCATACTCCTCCTCCCCATTTGATATCCCAATTTTTTTTTACTAAATCATTTATACCTCATCACCTACTCTTTTCTATTTCACTTTCAACTTTCTCCTTTACACACATTCTCAAACTATCCACAACCTTGCAATTTTTTTTTAGAACTCCCATAACACATATCATCGCAAAAAGTAGCTGTGTCAATTCCCTTTTTAATTTGATTCCCCATAATTTAATCCCCCCCTCTCCCAACACCCTAGCATTTACTTCTTTTACAACCCCATCTATAAATATATTAAACAACCATGGTGACATTACACATCCCTGTCTAAGACCTACTTTTACCGGGAAGTAGTCTCCCTCTCTTCTACACACCCTAACCTGAGCCTCACTATCCTCATAAAAGCTCTTTACAGCATTTAGTAACTTACCACCCATTCCATGAACTTGCAACATCTGCCACATTGCTCCTCTATCCACTCTATCATATGCCTTTTCTAAATCCATAAATGCAATAAAAACTTCCCTACCTTTATCTAAATACTGTTCACATATATGCTTCAATGTAAACACTTGATCTACACATCCCCTACGCACTCTGAAGCCTACTTGCTCATCCGCAATTCTACATTCTGTCTTCCCTCTAATTCTTTCAATTATAACTCTAACCGTATACTTTTCCTGATATACTCAGTAAACTTATTCCTCTATAATTTTTACAATCTCTTTTGTCCCCTTTCCCTTTATATAAAGGAACTATACACGCTCTCTGCCAATCCCTAGGTACCTTCCCCTCTTTCATACATTTATTAAACAAAAGTACCAACCACTCTAACACTATATCCCCCCCTGCTTTTAACATTTCTGTCATGATCCCATCAGTTCCAGCTGCTTTACCCCCTTTCATTCTACGTAATGCCTCACGTACCTCCACCACACTTACATTTCGCTCTTCTTCACTCCTAAAAGATGGTATACCTCATTGGCCAGTGCATGAAATTACCGCCTCCCTTTCTTCCTCAACATTTAAAAGTTCCTCAAAAAATTCTCGCCATCTACCTAATACCTCCCTCTCCCCATCTACTAACTCCCCTACTCTGTGTATATATATCTGTAT